CAATATACAATCAAGAAATGCATTACCCTGGAGGCACAAAACCCTCCAGAACACCCCAAAACCTCCTTGTCCTCTTCTTCACCCCAAACAGAATAAAAACTAGGAAAACAAGCTGGGAAGAAAGGAGCAAAGGACACGGTCAGTGCAATAACCACCCTGTTCCAGCAATTCACCTAATCTGGATTGGCGCACTAACTGCTTCTGGGGCTGGTGGACCTTTTCCCTCTTGCTTTCACTTCTTTTTAGAGCTGAAGGATCCAGCACTTTCCCAAGCAATGATTTTGCATTATTCAGGCGTGGTTTCTGTACCAAAGCCTGTTTGAGTTCTGCATCAAACCCATGTCCTCCCTTGCCTACAGGGATGTCTGGACGCTTTTTTTACTAATAACAGGAAATTTCTATTATTTGATTTTGCCATTTCCTTGGGGCAAGGTGGAGCTGGAGTCTGCGAATCAACACTGAATTAGAAGATGAGACAGAGGAACAGGCAACTTAACAGTATAAACAGATTTCCCACTGTGTTGCTCCCAAAAAGTTGCTTACAGGCTGAGAAAATTGGGGAAAACCAATGTCCCCTGTGCCTAAGGGCAAATGCTGATGGTGGCCACGCTGCTCAGACCTTCTTCAGGTCCTCGGGGCCAAAGGAGAGTGGCAGCAGCTCCTCCAGCCTCTTGACAATGTAGGTGCCATCTGCTTTGGTCAGGTAGACATCCCAGTCTGTGCCAAACTGGAGGAGGAGAAAGAAGAGCCTGATGAGGGAGAAGAAGGGAAGAACCTGCATTCCTTCCCCAAATTACTCATATACCCCTTTTTTTTTCAGGTTCACAGGGAGCGTCCCCCTCTATTACATGTATTTTGGGTTGGCTTATCAGCATTACCTCCTTCAGAGGATATTTTGGGCTAGGATCCTGTGTTTTTACCCCACCAGCATGAGCCCCAGTGCCTCTGAACCGCTGAATCTGACCCTTGAGCAGAGCCCCACGACCCATTAAATATTAACAACCCCAAAACAGGGTGTGGGTGCTGGGATTCCCGCAGAGGAAAGCCGGACAGGATCTTGGAAAGATCAGCTTTTGCAGGAAAATCCCCATTTTCAGGCTTGCCAGAGCAAGGACTCAAGGGCAAATCCCTGCACCTGGAAGGCGAGCTAATGAATTCCCAGCGAACACCCACCCAGGGCTGCAATACCCCTTTGCCAGGAGATAATGAAATCTGAGGAGCCTGGAGCCAGCCCTGGGGCTGAGCATGGCGGGGTTGCACCCTCCTTGGTACGTCCAGGTGTTTTAGGGGGAGATGCCTGAGGTCAGGGGATGGTGTCTGGGATCAGGGAATGAGCCACGGAGCCCCACACAAGTTGTCACCTCTCTCATCACTTGTCTGCAGGCGCCACAGGGTGTGATGAAGTGGTCCCCCATGTCACTGCCAAAGGAGAATGGCACAGAGGTCAGTCCTGAGGTCAGAGGAGGGGAGAACACCTGCAGAAGACCTTCATGCCCCAATAAATACAGAGCCACAACAGATTTTCCCCCCAATTCCTCCAAAAACAGCATGCAAAAACTTTATTTCCCTCCCCAAACAATGGGGCTGCTGCAAAAGAAGCTGTCCCTGAGGAGCAGTGGGGGTTCTCTTGCTGGTTCCCCACCATTCCAGCTCTCGGAGCACCCTCACCTGGCGATGGCCATGGCCTTGAAGCTGGTGTGCCCCTCAGAGATGGCTTTTTGGATGGCACCACGCTCGGCGCACATCCCCAGGCTGTAGCAGGCGTTCTCCACGTTGCACCCTGCAGGGACAACCCCGGCATCAGCCACCCCAAACCCCACCACCTCCTTTCTTCTCAGGGAATTGACAAAGAAAAGCCATTTTCCCTGCTTCCTCTATTTATTTTCCCATCCGCTGTGATCTTTGGCTCGGTCCGGGATGGCAGCTGCCAAGAGACAGCGGGGGGAGGACACACAACACCAGCACCCCGGGATGACCCCGCTACACCCTCACACATGACCCAAGGCTTGCTGGGGGCTCCTCAAAATCCCCGGGGCAGGTCTCAGATCCCCATCTTACCCGAGAAGATCTCCCCGCCGGCGGTGAGCAGTGCAGCTCCCACCGGGAACCGGCTGTAGGGGCAATAGGCGCAGTTTTTGGCCTCCCGGCTGCGGCGCAGCAGGAGCTGGAGATGGTCACCCTGAGGCTGGCCCGGGGGGACAGCAGGGAATGAGTGCTGCCCGCTTCTCTCCATTCCTGCAGCTGCCTGCCCTGCCCGCTGACGCCGCGGTTAAATATTTCCTCGCCTGGAAAATAGGCTGGCCGGGACGCCGGGATAACGCCCCGGCACGCAGCTGAACTCTGGGAAGCATCCTCAGGGGCAGTCCTGGCCCCCAAAGCACCGTGTTCAGGGATTCCCACATCCTCTCCCTGCCTGCTGCCTCATTTTTTCCAATTTCGCCTGTTTTCATAGTTTACTTCCTCCTTTCTCTGTCCCAGCAGAACATTTTTCTGCCACCATCCCGGGGGTTTTTTCCTCCTCAGTTCAAAACTGGTTCTGTGGCTCCACAGGAAAATGTCCTTAAATCGTTCCTGGGGGGAAGGAACAACAGCTTCTGATCAGTGAGATCAAAATAAATAAATAAAAAAGATTGAAAGCATTAAAAAAAAAAACATCATACAAAATAATATTTTCCCAGGTCTTCTAACTACAGGCAGCAGAGGAAAGTGGCTGAAGACACAGGTGGTCAAAAGCCCAATTTCAGATGCTCTCATGCTGGAGCCCAAATTCAGTTTGGCTGGTACTTCCACAGAAATCAGCCCACACAAGGTGAAGGGCTCCCAGGTGATCATCAAATTGCTTTTTAATTAAAGATTTCTCATTTTTCCCCTTGCCCAAGGAGTTTCCTGCCCCATTTTCTAGCTGCAAGGACAGTTGTCACAGCCCCGAGGGATTTATCACTGGGATGTTTGTCCAGTTTGTTGGATTTTGGGAGGATTTTGACCTTACCTGCTGGTTTTGCCATCAAATCTTGCTGCTGGGTCACTGCTGAGGAGCCACAACAGGCTGGGAAGCAACATCCAAACTGGGAGTGGCTTCTGATGGGGCTGAAACTCCCGGAGCTGAAACAGAGTATGGGACAGTGAGACCACCACAGGTAGCCCAAGAAACCACAGCTGGGATGCTGAGATCTGTATTGTCCACGGGATAACCAGGAAACCCACCTCCCACACGCTGCCAGGGTGCTTGTTCACTCTGAACCCACTGATGACAGTTCTCTACTTGCCAGGGCAGTGAGTGAGAGGAGGGACTGGCAGCCCTGAACCAGCCCACATCTCCTTCTCTCAGCTTTCAAGTGTAAATCCAGGTTGTTTTCCCCTATATACAATGTGGTGCAGAGTCTCCCTTGCCCCCCAAAATCTGTGAGAAAAAGGAAAACCAGTCCTAGGGCAACTTATGGGTGGCACTGTGGGATCAAACCAGTGTAGAGGGACACCACAGCCCCCCCCGACCCTAATAATGTGGGATTTGTAAATAAAGAAGCTTTCAGGGTGGGTTCACACCTGCCCTCTCAATATGAACACCAAGCAAGTCGATGAGTCAGTGAGAGCAAGACTAGAAATTACGAAAGACAGAGGTTAGCATGGGTAGGGATCTCCCTCATCAGCACTAATTCCCTAATTGCGATCTCCCCAAAATCATCCTTGCACTGGGAGCAAACCATACAGCCCATGTTTGCATCAGAAAAGCTGAAAAACAGACAATTTCATGCATTTTTTATTATTTTGGCTGCAAAATCTTACAAGGCTGTCGAGGCCGCGGCAGTGAGAGAGTGGGGCTGGTGCTGTCTGCCTGTGAGGCTGCTATTTTAAGGTTGTATTTGCTTCACTCAAACTGCAGAAAATCTGGGAAGCTGCTGGGAAATGGCTTCCCGTTCCCTGCAACACCCCACTCTGATTTTCTTCTCCAAGCAGACTAAAAGTGGGGGGACATGGTGTTATTCTACCCCTTTCTCCTCCCCATTTTTTAATCCCAAGGCAAACAGAGCATCCCCAAGCCCAGAGGTCTCCCTGCTTTACATCCAGATGGTTAAACAAAAAAAAAAAACCCCACAGAAAAACCAGAAAAGGTGGAAATCAGGGTTTGAGCCAAAAGCACTGAATCCTGAGCAGCCTCAGACTCCACTGCAGGGCTGAAACCTTGCAGTGCTCCCCAAAAATTCCCCTCGAGCTGCGCCATGGGGAAATAACATTCCATTTCTCCTGGAGAGAAGCTGTCCTAGGGCCTTGGCCAGAGATAAAAGCAACAGGTTAAAAGCCAGCTCAGCCCAAAAGGAGGGAAGCAGCAAGGAGGTCTGACAGGCTTGGAAATAACAGGAGCAAATGGGAGGTTTGGAGGAAAAAATGCCAGCAAACCCGCAGGATCTGCAAATCCCGACACACACCCTTGTGCAACATACTGATTTGGGGGGAAACCCCCCACCTTTTTGTCGCTCCAGTGTCAGAAGCCATCATCTGATCCTCCCAAAATCATCCCTCCACCCGGGTGGGAGATGGAATTTCCCCAGACGCCGGTGGGTTTCGGCGCTGGGGGTCCGGCTGCTGCAGGGGGTGGGGGGCTTCATTCCCCCCGGCTTCCTCTGCCTGCCGGGGCACGGAGCGGGCGCGCACGGAGCCGGCGGGGGCCGTTCACCGGCGGGGGCCGTTCGCCGGCGGGGGCCGCTCACCGGCGGCTCCCCGCGTGCTCGGGGAGGTGGAGCAGCCCACGGAGAGCCGCGTCCCCGCAGCCGCCGCCGCTCCCGCAGCATCAGGCGCAGGCGGCACCCGGAACGCGGCGGCTCCTCGGCTCCGCATCCTCCGTGGGCAGCCGGATCGGACACGGGGCCGCGTCCCGCTGCCGGGGTAGGGGACGACACCCCCTGCGCGGGGGGTGCGGGGACACCCCCCAAACCGGCTTCGGGGCTTGGGGGGGTGGTCCCGCTGCTTGCGAGCGAGGCCGGCGTTAGCGGAGCGGAGCCGAGATGCTGCCCTGGCGCCGGAGCAAGTTCGTGCTGGTGGAAAATGAACGTAAGTGCAAAGGCAAGAGCCTGGGGCCGGGGCTGAGCTACGCGGCGCTGCTGGCCGGCTTCCTCCGCTCCTGCCCGGACCTGCTGCCCGAGTGCCCGCTGGAGCGCCTGGGCAGCGTCTTCCGCGGGAAGCGCCAGAAAGTGGAGCTGAACAAGGAGGACCCGACGTACACGGTGAGGTACCTGGGCAACGCCGTCACCCTGCACGCCAAGGGCGAGGGCTGCACCGAAGAGGCGGTGGGCAAGATCTGGGCCAAGAGCGAGGCAGGCGCCGGCGGGGCCAAGATGACGCTGACGCTGGGCCCGCATGGCATCCGCATGACGCCCTGCGAGAAGGGGGCCCGCCGGCCGGGCCACGCGTACCTGCTGCACCGCATCACCTACTGCGCCGCCGACCGCCGGCACCCCAAGGTGTTCGCCTGGGTGTACCGGCACCAGGTGAAGAACAAGGCGGTGGTGCTGCGCTGCCACGCCGTGCTGGTCTCCAAGGCCGACAAGGCGCGCGCCATGGCCCTGCTCCTCTACCAGACCTCGGCCTCCGCCTTCAACGAGTTCAAGCGCCTCAAGAGACAGAGCGATTTCCGCCACGTCCAGCAGCAGCTCCTGGGCGACGCCATCGTGCCCTTGGTGCCGCTCCGCAGGCTGCTCAACGCCAAGTGTCCCTACCGCCCGCCGGCCGAGCGGGCCCGCTGCGCCCCTCGGCTCAGCTCCATCCTGGAGGAGGAGGAGGAGGAGGCCTTCGGCGCCGGGACGCCCTTGGGGGACGCCGGGCGAGCGGCCGTGCTGCGGCTGGCCAGCGACATGAGGGGGTGCAGCCTGCGCGGGCCCCGGGCCGCCGTGTGCTGAGCGCCGGCGGCCGCGGGGCACGAGGTGCCCGCCCTGCGCCCCGAGCCCGTGCTGGACCCTCCTCGGGGATCAATCCGGACAAGACAGCGGCTCTGTTTGCAGGAAGACCCATGGTGGGGGTGGGTTTGCACCCCAGGGGACCCCCCGGCCCTGCACATGAACCTGCTCTCATGCCTCCTCCTCAGCGGCCATAATAATAAAATGAATGTGTGTTTTCTGCGGTGTGACGGCGCCTGTGTCTCGCCCAGGCCTTGGTGGATGACAGAGTTAAGCTCGGCTCTGAGGCAGTTTGGGGGGTTTATATTGCTTTTATCCCTCAAAAGGCAATCCAGGGAGGGGGGGCTGCGGGGTCCATGGTGCTTTCCTGCGGCACCGGGGGCGGGGGAGAGCTGCTCCACGTAGTCATGGCAACTTGATTTTTTAAATATAGAGCTGGGGGGCGGCTGTGCCGCCCACATCGGGGGAGCAGTGATGGGGGTTTGGCCCCTTGGACCCCGCTGGAGAGCAGAACTTCCCTGCACCAACCCCCCCCCGCCACTCCAAATTAGCACCAAGGGCCTGAAGATCAATAATTTATGAAAAAGTGCTATTTTTTTCTTCCCCTTTTGCCGCTTTCCCAGAATAAGTGATGGTAAGGAGTTGGGGGGGTGGGGGAGGTTTGTGACCCCCCCCAGAAGGGACCTGCCACCCTGCCATAGCCCGTAGTGGGGCAGGAGAGGGGACTCTGCAAAGTGGGGCTGGGGGCTGCGTCCTGAGGCTGAGCCCCCGCAGAGGGGGCCACGTGGTGCTGCTGCCCCACAGCCCAGCGGGGTTGTGAGCCCTTCCCCGAGATGCTGTAGGGCTGCGATTTGGATAGATATCCCCTCCCAGCCACGGTGGGACAGGCTTTGCTCTGACCACTGCCCCCCCAAACTTAGCAGAAGGTGAGATTTGGGTTGCCCTGCCACCCCCAAGGTGGTAGAGGGCGTACGGGGATGCTCCCCCCACAAACCCAAAGGCATTAGAATTTGGGGCCAGCTGCCAAGATCCTAAGGGATGGCTGGGATTTGGGATAATCCCCCGCAGATACTGGTGAAGCTGGGGTTTGATGTCCTCGCCAAGACCCCAGGGTGGAGCTGGGGGTAAAGGTGTGGGGAGGCTGCCACCTGTCCCGCCCCCCAAACTCCCAAAGATGGGGTTTATCCCCCTAAAGTTCCGTGGGGCCGGGATCTGACCCGGCACCTCTGTGGGGGGGTACCCACAGAGTTTGCGTTACCCCCGCACCCCAACAGGGCTGTGCGGAGCCGCCCCGCCCGGCCTTGGCGGACCCCGCGTCTCGATGGCGGCGCTGCGGCGGCCAGACCGCCGCTCGTGACGTCATCACCAGGCGCCGGGCGGTTGCCGTGGTAACGGCGGGCCTGGTGGCCATGGAGGGCGGCGGGCGGCCCTCGGCCGCACAGGCCGTGCTCTTGGTCGCCAGCTCCGCCATCACCGCCCTGGTCTACTCCATCTACCGGCAGAAGGCTCGCGTGGCCCGCGGGCTCGAGGTGGGTGTGAGGGGTGCGACGGGGGAATGCATGTGCCCGGCCCCCGAGCCGCGGCCTGCTCGCGCCGGCTGAGCCGCGGCCTCTGTTTGCTCCCGCAGGGCGCCAGGAAGGTCCGGCTGGACGGGGACCTGCGGGCCGTGCTGCTGGAGGCGCCCGGACGCTGCGTGCCCTATGCAGTCATAGAAGGTAGGGTCGTGTGCAAACACCAGAGTTTTATGTCCAGAAAGGAGACAGAGGAGTCCTACAACTTTATTCGAATCAAGGGAGAGGTCATGGGCATTTCCCATGGGTTCTCTCAAATTATTAGAAGACACAAGCTCCTTTTTAGTCTCACTTCCTGGCTGCATTTCCCTCTCTCTTTCCCTATTGGCTGAGGCACTTGAGAGATGCAGACTTCCTGAAACACCTGATACCTAAGACCCCCTTCTAATGTACAACCTCACCCCCCTTTCCTTTTCCTTGTGTCAGTCAGTGGAATTCCTGTGGAATTTATGGTTCTTCCCATTGTTTCTTTTATCTCTCAGTATGTAGTTTTATCTACCAGCAGAACCACAGTTTCTTTGTAAAGACAAACCCTTATTTCTTTCAAACAGGCCCCAAAGTGGTGCCTCAAATGGGGCTGGGGGGCACATCCTGCCCCACAGCTGCTCCTCACCTGGAGATTTCATCCCCAGCTCTTCCTCCTGTGCCCATCAGGTCATTTTCCCCCCCACCAAGCAGCCACAGACTCCTGACAGCAGAAAACACAGGCTCTTAGCCCTTTTGCCCCCATCTTAGAATTCTAGAATGGTTTTGTTTGAAAGAGACCTTAAAGCTCATCCAGTTCCTCCCCCTGCCGTGGCAGGGACACCTTCCACTGTCCCAGGCTGCTCCAAGCTCCATCCAACCTGGCCTTGGGCACTTTCAGGGATCCAGGGGCAGCCACAGCTGCTCTGGGCAACCTGTGCCAGGGCCTCCTCACCCTCACAGAAAGGAAAGGATTTCTTTCCAGCAGCCCATGGAAGCCATTCCCCATGGTGCTGCCAGTCCCAGCCCTTGCCCAGGGTCTGTTCCTGAGCCCTCAGCTTGGGTTCCCGTTGCAGGTGTGGTGCGCTCGGTGAAGGACACCCTGAGCAGTCAGTTTGTGGAGAACTGCAAGGGGGTGGTTCAGAGGCTGACCCTGCAGGAGCACAAGATGGTGTGGAACAGAACCACCCACCTCTGGTATGTGCCTGGTACCCTCAAACTCCTGTGGTGCCCTTGGGGGGTCTGACACCTTGAAATGGCCTCAGGCATGGCCAGAGTGACCAAGTGCCTCAGCTGGGTCCCAAAGTAGCCCCCACAGTGACAGCTGCCATAACGGGGGGTTTGGCTGATTTTAGGATTTTCCAGAGGGGCTGGAGGAGAAGAGCACGTCGAGTAACCCAATACAGGCTGAACACTGACCAGCCCCACCTTGTTACCCCACCAGAGGATGGCCTTTCCAAAAAAACCCACTTGCAGAATAGAAATTAATTGGATTTGGGTGATCCCCACACCCAGGGCACCCGAGGAGGGTCCCAGAACTGCTGAACAGAGCCTAGTGATGCTGTTTGATAAGCAATTGGTAACACTTGGGAAATTGGGATGTGTGACACGTAGTGCTTCTCCTCATGGGATGGTTTGTGACAGCTGGGAATGCCACAGGCAAGTGAGGAGGAAGTAGGTGGGGATGGGAGAAGCCCCCACTACTTGTGGAGCACTGAGCTGAGGGTGGAGTGGCCTTGTGCACCCCTGGACAGTGCCATGAGGGAAAGGTGCTCTCCAGAGACCCCCATCAAAGAAGCTCCACTCAGGGCATGTCCCATCTGTCGTTCCCAAAACCAGCAGGCCATCCCAGGCTGTGTTTCCCATCGGGGGCAGTCAGTTCACTTCCCCTCTTCTCCCTCCCCAGGAACGACTACGAGAAGATCATCCACCAGAGAACCAACACCACCTCCTTTGACCTGGTCCCTGCCGAGGGCGGCGCCGGCGTCACCGTCCGGGTGATGAAGCCTCTGGACGCTGCCGAGCTCAGCCTGGAGACGGTGTATGAAAAATTCCACCCCTCTGTCCAGTCCTTCACCGACGTCATCGGCCACTACATCAGCGGGGAGCGTCCCAAGGGCATCCAGGAGACGGAGCAGATGCTGAAGGTGGGCACGGCTCTGACCGGGGTGGGAGAGCTGGTCCTGGACAACGCCACCATCAAGCTGCAGCCCCCGAAGCAGGGCATGCCCTACTACCTGAGCTCCCTGGATTTCGAGTCCTTGCTGCAGAAACAAGAGTCCGGTGTGCGGTTTTGGAAAATCCTGACGGTGATTTTTGGCTTTGCCACTTGTGCCGTGCTGTTCTTCCTCCTGCGGAAGCAGTACCGGCACCACCGGGAGAGGCAGCACCTCCGGCAGATGCAGGAGGAGTTCCGGCAGGCCCAGGAGCGCCTGACCAACGCTGAGGGGGGGGAGGTTCTCAAAAACGCCTGCGTGGTCTGCTTGAGCAGCACCAAATCCTGTGTTTTCCTGGAGTGTGGCCACGTCTGCTCCTGCCACGAGTGCTACCAGGCTCTTCCCAGCCCCAAAAAGTGCCCAATTTGCAGGCAGAGCATCAGCAGAGTGGTTCCCTTGTACAACAGTTAATTTTTTGTGGTTCTTGGGGGGGAGACTTTGGATTTAAAGCTGCCACTGGCAAAGGGGTTTTGTTGCCTCGCTGCTTGGGTGGTGGGTTTTGGGGAAGGGGAGGGAGCTTGAGGGAGCGGGTGCTTCACTGGGGGGCAGAGCAGAGTCTGAAAAGGTGACTCTGCAGCTGCTCAGGGCTCACGCTATGCTCCGGAGGTGTTTTTGAGAGAGATTATTCTTTGCAAAGGGTGAGGTGCTCAGGGGGAGATGCAGCTTGAAGCTCTTCTGTTAAGGTTTGGACTTGCAGGGTTTGTGTCATGGTTACAGAGCCTGCAGCCCTTACCCATCTGATAAAAACATGGGGAAAACAAAAATAAAATGTATTAAGGCTTCTGGGAGGCTGCAGAATTCCTGTGAGGCTGCCAGAGGCCTGCAAGGCCTAATGGAGCAGGAGGGGCTGTCGGAGAGCTTGTACCAGGGGGTGTGAACACAGGTCACTCTGTGATCCCCCCAAAATGGCTTTGTCACACCAGGGTGTGAGGATGGGGATGTGGCTAATGGCTGATGGCTGTGCTTGGCTTGGCTTGGGATAGCAATCGAGGTGTGAAGTAATAAAATAGGATGAAAAGTGTGTCTGTGTCAGATTATTCCAGGAGAGTAGTGAGGTTTGTCCTCCCTGAGGTGGACACAGTGAGCCTGGATCATCCCAAGCCATGATGGAGGTTGGCTGAGGGGGGAAACCTGTCCCCGCTGCACTGGACATGACAGTCATTGCTGTCCCCTCATGACACAGGTGGTGCCAAACCCCCCAAACTGACACAAAAAAGGAAAATTCCCTTCCCTGCCACTCCTATTTTGCCAT